TGATAACTATCGAAACGCCTGCCATTTGAAATAAATAAATGATAGCAGATCCAGTGACTCGCAACGCACTACAAGTGGAAATCAGCGTGTGTAAAAGGGACCTTGATAAAATTAGTACTCCCCACATCCTACCACTGAGCAGTTTGGAGCAGATATTAACCATGGGATAATTTTTCAAAACGAAATCACCAACTTAGGAAGATTACCATAAAAAGGTGTATTTAATAGTGATAGTAACGAGGCGTACATAAATTAATTTGACATGATTTCTCAATAAAATAGAGCGTGCATACACACACACAGAACAAGGAATAGGGATTGCGTTTACACTAAGAATTACTTTTTTCATCTTTCAACAGCGAAATTATACGTGAAAACAAAGAGGGGGTGGGGGTGGGAGGGGGGTAGGGGGAGCAGAGGAATACTGCCATGTGACGTCTAGGCGACAGCAGTGATACGAGTGCGGCCCATATTAACCTGCCAAACGTTGAGATTTTCATAGGCATCAACAACCTCGTTGACTTGATTTGGAGTAAAGCCTTTGTTGGCACAGCGCTCCATAACGTCAGTTAAACGAGTGCTACCACCACCCATTCCAAGCAATTCACGAATGACTGCGTATATCTGGTCCTTATACGACACCGGGCTACAAGGAGAATAGTAGAAAAATTAAAATTAAATGTGTAATATAGTGCCCGACGATTTCCCATAAAAACTTTACCTATTCTGTGATAAACTAAGAAACCATTTTAATGCCTAACTACCACAATTACCAGATAATCGTTCGCCCAAATTCATTCACCGACTTGCCATCTACCTTCAAATACTTCCTATAGTCACTATTCACGACTTCTTCTGATTAACAGACCACCAGGTGTTATACTTAACTTTCCGTTAAAATAGCAATAACATCAAAATAAAAGAATAAATTAAAAAGAATATTGAGACTGCCTGACTTTGAAAATTAGCCTAAAATAAAAGTATTTAGACATTAATTCCACCATCGAGGAGAGAGTAAACTATAAGCTCAAAAGTACCACTGTTTTTCTTCCAGATCATCAAGAAATGTCATTATATCATCTCAGGTAGGAAATTCACAAGGGACATAAAAATGTGGACAGAATTTCGTAAGCCAGATCATTCATGCATTCAATGAAGACTTTCGCCACCGCCCGACCCCACACACAAGTGTCGGTGGGGGCAGCTTGAAAGGCAGTCCACGAAAATCGTCATCCGACAAAGGGGAAGAAACTTCGGAGCAAATCGAAACAACCTAACAAGCGCAATCAGATTCTTTTCCGAGCAAAACAGCTTTTGTCCAGACTAACAGCACAACATGAAGAATAATAGTTGTTTTGCCCTATATGGAAGCTAAAGAACCCACCTTGTATCGCTCAAACAAAACTTGTGCAACCGGCCATGGTTTTCGGATGTATCCTATTTCGTCACAGTTCATGTACTGTCTTCCGGCTGCTGCATAATCGTATTATACACACACGAATTGGTAGTAACATTATAGAGATCAATGAAATTTTTCAACAGTTCAACTGACCCCCACTTTTGAGTACTGTGTTAATTCCAGTACAACTACCAGAAAAGATTTAGTGGGTATACTCCAAATAAACGTCAATTAGCACAAACTTCTAATACACAACGATTCTCAAGTTCTGAGAAAAAAAGAAGCCAATATTTTATCATCCATAACTCTTAAAGAAACATTGTCTAAGACTTCATAATTAAAGCTATGGACGCTGAGAGTTGTACTTTTTGCAATGTGGTTAATCACTATTTTGCTGATTTGATATGCGAAAGACCTATGTAGGAAACAGTAAAATATTCTAACACCTCCCTCCCTTCCCCTCCCCATATAGAACAGACGGAGTAGACTTACCGATTACGATCACGTGGCCCACCGACCGGGTTACTGACAGATGCTCGGGATGCCTCCATCAAGCGCATAGCCTCATCGATATCAGCTTTTGTGACCTCACTGGCAACCCTCAAACGAGCCCTGGCAGTAGACAGACGCATAATAGCTAAGAGGGTTCTTGCACTGGTGTAAGTCATCTCTTTGTTGACACGAGCCTCTTTTCGCATCTCCACATACGCCCCCACAAGATAATCAGCCAAGTAGGCTGGTACAACGGGTTCAGGCTGGGATCGGGCTACGGCGATCAGACGACGGAGTTCAGCTAGGGAAAGGAGACGACCCGATGCGTGACCTGCAGCGTCACTGGCTGCAGCGTTAGTGGGTGCTGAACCGTGTGAATGGACGTAGGCAATGTGTTGAGCAAGACGCATGTCATTCTCTCTGAAAAGGCAGATTTCACAATGTGTGATAAATAGATATATATATGACGTAAAATGGAGTGGAGGTAACAGCCCATTTCATCATTTGACAGATGAATATACTTATAAATATCCATTAGGAGCTACACTGTAGACCAGTCATACAAAATGTAAAAAGTTTTAACTTCATTGCATCCAATAAACTGCATATTGATTCTACCAAGACACGTCACTGCAACTTAATGAAATAATAATGATTTTGACATATCATTATAGGTGTAATACTTATCTACCCCAATAAAGTCTAGTTCTACAAAGAAAGTCAACTTTAACATTATCGATTTTTAATCAAATATGAATGTACTAAATTTCAGACATGCTGTATTGCATAACTCTGGGATAGAGCCTATCCTTTGTTATTACTGACTGCTTCGACTGATTTTAATTATATCAAAATGTTAAGTAGTCAAGTAGAAAATGAAAAAAAAATTGTTAAGAAGAGGAAACAATTCCGGAGGTACAAGAGAACATGCTACCTGTCAGGACGATCTTGGATGAGCCAAAGGAGATCGAAGCGGGAGAGCAAAGCGGCGGGCAAGTCAACGTTTTGTTCGACAGATCGATGTGGGTTATATCGTCCGTAGGCAGGGTTAGCTGCGGCCAAAAGCGCGACACGCGCGTTGAGGGTGGTCAGGATACCCGCCTTGGCGATACTGATGGTCTGCTGTTCCATGACCTCATGGATTGCAGTGCTGTCAATTAGGAAGTGAAAGTGGATCAAATAGGCGCTTACAGGCAATAACTCATTCTCACGTACATCATTAAACATTTTGATTAAGTGAGAATGCTAATCGCCCGCAATTTAAAAACAGGCTCAAATTAGGAACAATCAAAGATTATAAACACATTATTTTAAATTTCACAAACTGAGAGATTGGCAAACTAATTTCATCCCACAATCATATTGTTCTACCTATAGCAAAAGGATTAGAAAAAGCACATCACAAGGAGGTGCATATTAGAGTAACATCAAGAAACTTTTGACTTGAGGACTGACCAGCATTTTCCATCGATAAAAATCACGAAATCTAATTTCAAAATCCAAAAACTAGTAATTCGAAAGGAAAAACTGCGAGGTTCAAAAAAGTTATCAAAGTCAAATGAATAAGTTGCACTTACATACTGTCAATGAAAAGTATTTGTGCCAAACAGTGGAGACTAAAATGCAACTAGTTTGCAATGACAGTTCTAGCTTCTTGCGCAATAAAGTCTAAAAGAACACTGGCAAAAAGTGTAGTAAGAACTAAACAAGTAGTTGAGCCAGGTATTAAAATTTGACAAGCCAACTGAAATAACTTTTAGTACATTTTTTTAAAGATAAAGTCTTAGTAAACGCAGTTAAGTTAAGGGAAGTGATTGACTGAACGAAATCAATTTATTCGAGGAATATTCATCTTAAGAAACAATTTCATAAAGTGAACGAGTTACGACGGTAAAGGTAACTTAAGCAGACAAATACATTCAAATGATGTAATCTGCACACGAACGACAAACAAACAAATTAAGAAATTCAACATATGCAATAGCAGAATGAAATGGGAGACTTGAAACTGAAAATAAACAGCATTAAATGCCTAAAACAACAACCGATAAAAACTTACATTTAGAAGGCATTGATGAATATCAAATTCGAAGTGAAGACTAACTGGGAAAAGGAGGCGACCATGAATAAGAATTACAGTAAAGGTAACAGGAAAAATCTCCCTAGAGCAACTATTGACGACCGTTTAACAATCTCCATTCACAAAGCTTAAAACTTGCACAAAGCGTAGCAACTTATTCTACTGAAAATATAAAAGTAAACACGTTTGGAAGAACCACTTACCGATCAAATTCAGCCATCTTGTCAAATTCATCGATGCAACATACGCCTTGATCAGCAAGAACCAAAGCGCCTCCTTCAAGAGTCATTTCTCCTGTGAAGGGATCTTTAGTAACTGCAGCAGTCAGACCAACACCAGAGCTACCACGACCAGTAGTATACTGTGAACGTGGACTCAGACGATAGACGAAACCCAATAGTTGTGACTTGGCAACACCAGGGTCACCCATGAGACAGATATTGATGTTTCCACGGATACGGAGGCCAGCTTGTGGTCGAATCTCAACACCTCCAACAAGAAGAAGTAAAAGAGCCTTCTTGACATCCTCATGACCGTAAATTTCTGGAGCAACTGACTGAGCCATCAGACTATACATGTCAGGATCTTGTAGCCTTTCAATCTCAGCTTCAGTGGGTTCTTCATCCAAGTTTGATTCTGATTTGCTCAACTGGATTATGAAGTGGGCGTCCAAGAAGGTGTCAGCTAAGAGGGCACCAGTCGTTCCACTCATAGCAGAAGCCGCACGACCTGCAACTGTGCCACGAGCTGAAGGCAGGAATACACCAGTGATTAAAACATGATCACCAGGTTGCACAAGTCTCGTGTTTTCTCCGTGAGTGTAAACAGTCAAGCCACGAGGGATATTGCCCACTGGAACTTGATCAGACAACTCTTGGATGCGAATTTCCTGAAACTTTTCGAATTTAGACCCTCGAGTCTGCAATTGAAGTTGTCCAGCGCTTCCCGCTCCTGCAGCTTTGCAAGCAGGTGTTTGGCACAGCATAAGTGGCATAAAGCTCGAACTAGTGATTTCCTAAAAAGACACGAAATTAGCAAAGATCCTTTCTACCTGATAGGTTTCAGCACCACACCTATCACACGTATAGGTAGCAACACGAAGAAGTGGTTTGACTTCCGTAGTACGAGACACAATACCACGAACTTGAATCAAATGACCAATACTAGATGCTAAAACTTTCCTGACACTCATTGGTTTAAACGTTGATCTTGCCGTGAAATAGACTTCATAGCGCCTCAAAAGTTCTGGTGGAAATTTAGCTCTGATTTCCCGCATTTCAGTTGAGTTTGGCTGATCGACCGCCTGACCCTGTGGTGGTGATTCACCACCAATATCCTCGGTGTGCATTCTTTGCTCCATTCTGATCCTGTGATCGATAAATATGTCCAAAACATCATGAATTTGTGCCTAAAAATTAGTTAAAGACGCAAAAAGCAATTACCTCTCCCTCGCGATAATCGGGAATAAGATCATCGATAGCTTCAGAAAAAAGCCTCTGAAAACGAGTAGTATTTATTTCAACAGCTGTTGTCAGCTCCTCGTTCATATCCCAAAGATCATCCAAAGAAATACGAATTACATTTTCCTTACGATTCGCAAGTTTGGACTAAGGAGTAAAATAATAAAATAAAATTACCAATTGTTCAAGGTATGGAAAATACTTTTCTCCATCCTTTTCCGACTTGTGAAACTCCTTAAGGAACCGAGTTATCTCAGCCTTATCCGCCTCATAATCACGAAACTGGCGAGGAGCCATAGAACACTTTTTATAAAATTTCAATTATGGGAGCCAATCGAACTAATGTATCATGAGGGCGTTTAAACGAAACAATAGCAGTTTAATTATCATTTGAAAATTTAGTATAGTTATTTCCCAACATAGCATCATTTATTTCATTATTTTGTTTATGCATTTATTTTCATATTACGCTAGCTTTAATCCGATACAACATTAAAGCTTTCTTACCCTTCATTCTGTTAAACGTAACGCGTTTCAATAATACGTTTTATTGTTTTTTGTTAAACTAACTTAGAAATCTATTAAATAACATTTTCATTTATAAAATATACCTTTTAAGCGGATCAATATTTCTCTTCCAACTGCATACACCAGAATGACTATTATCGACATGTTTTTAATATTTCAAAACGTAAATAGACAATATCTGAAGTCTACGGGTATTAACATCTTTATCATTTCAAATATTGCACTTTCAGACAAATTTTGATCAGCTTTATTTAATTTTCCTCTTCGAATGCCTTATTGACAATGAAGTGTCATTATTCGCTAAAAGATGCATTTGAGCACAATGTTTTCCCAATTAGTTATGGTTACTACAAATTTTAAGTAAATATAAACAATGTATGTGGGCATTAGATTGTTATCTTATTTAAATACTCCTGCGATTTATCAGTTTCCTAGAATTCAAAAGCCTTTTCGTGATCTATTATTTTATTGTTTCGAAATTGCAATTTTCCCGTTTAAGGGGCGAAGGAAAACCCGAATGAAAAGTTTCACTTTCTAAACAAGTGTTTCTGATAACGTCTACATCTGTCTCGAATGAATCAATATCAATATTATATTTTGGCAATATTTTATATTGCTATGTTAAATCGCTTAAAAATGGTGGTCTCTAAAATCTATATGTATGACCCTGTTTGTCGAATAAGGTCATATTTTAATGGTCGTTTACGATATCCTGTTAAGATTTCTGTTAGCAACTCATATTTCCAACAAAAATCTAAAAATTGCCTTAACTTAAGTCTACTATTTTCACTTCGAGCCAATACTATCTAACATTAATAAAAAACGTATTCACGATTTCAAAACAACAAAATAATTTAAGGAGATATCACAAAAAATCCAGGGTCTTTTTGGTTTTAATCATTTTTAAAAAAAATTTCAAATGCAAAATTTTCTCTTGTGAACCAAACTTTTCTAAGCGTAGGTATCTATCTCAACTTTTTTTAACTAATCGATGCTTAAACCAAACCTCTCTATATTTTGTTAAGGACAGGAGGGGTTGCGAAAAGGTCTTTCACTTGCAGCCCACTATAACCACTGATTTAAAAGTGCCATCACAAACGATAGTCATAGAGAGGAGACTATGACAGCATAATAGGTCTGATATTGACATGATTGGCTTGACTTATGTCCTTGTTTCAACCAGTTCATTCGAAGTTGCGCAAGTCAATATATATATATATATATATATATATATATATATAT